CAACCCACCTATCCCAGCAAAAAACTGAAACAAAAGCAATTCATCTATGTACAAATTTCTTGTTCACTTTCTTACTGATCTGCTTCCGCAATGATGGTGGTTTAGCCTCTGCATTAGCATGGATATTATACGATTGTGTTCCAACAAAAATTGTTCAAAGTCTCCCTTGAAACCAACGGGAAAAGACTTCATCGTCTCGCTTAACAGTATTCGACTGCAGTTCGTAAAATATGAAACTGTTTCAATTCCCCAGACTTGAGTTGAAAACAAATTGATGTTATGTTAAATATGCTGTCCAGCATTAGTAAGGGTGATCAGACTGAGTAAGATATTGTCAGATATTACAGCATATTATCAAAGATAATCATTTATTACCACTTTCAAATGACAAGTTATTGTGTCGCACGACAAAGCCTGTGCGGGCGGACTTTGGCAAAGGCATTCTCATCAATACTTTGATATTATCGATCGTTCTAGTTCCTAACTCATTTGATTTGTGATTTAACTGGGGACCTGACTTTAAAGGTGACCGACTGAGTTAAAATGCGAAGATATTGTTATAAGCTACTTCATGTATTACTTCCTGGACAAGATTGCTTTCATTAAAGTTCCTGTCTCTTTTATATATTCAGAAAGTTTCCCAAACACTTACTAAAAAGAAACAAATCTAATAATAAACTAGAATACACATGCATTACAAGAAAACTCTTTGAAAATCTGATTATAAACTTGATACTATCATATAAGATTCGTTTAAACAATTCGATGTACTTCATTATAAAATTGTTACGATTATGTAACAGTTATTCATTTACACAGAGTTGCGTTACGCATGCAAAGTGCATGTTTGAAAGTACCTTTTTTCAGCAGTGCTTGGAGATGTATCAAGGTTTATATAAGATTTTTAATTATGATATTAAGCCAGCATTAAATAACATAATTTGCTTAAAGCCAAGGAACTCTTAATTACCTTCTGATGATGGGTGGTACAGGGGAGGACTTTGTTATATCATTGTTGCACTCAGATCTGTCTCCATTTATTTTGGTTTTTTGACGGCAAGCTTTTAGGTGCAAAGTGTGGTTTAAATTTGTATGTAGACATATATTGCAGTAGTCGCATGTTTTGCAAGTATACGTTACAAATGAAGCATTATATTTACAAATTGGAAATAAATGTAGTTTTTGTATACTTAAATCTTTTAAAACCCGCATGAACACGTCCAGAGAACTGAACTTTATAACCAAAATGTGCGAAAATATGTTAAAATTACAGTTTTCACGACCCTATTTCACTCCCTTCTGGGAGCAAAAGCTAAACAGCCGTTGGGTAGAGAAAGTTGTCTGAAGAAATGCCCAAGAATCGTGACGTCATAGGACGGAGACCTTTATCCGGCGACTGTTTACTGTTACACAACGACGCGTCACCGAGTCATGTACATGTGCGTAATGCAGTAGCGTTAGCGTGTGCAATCATGTCAGACTCAAGCGACGATAATTCCAGCGTTGATGCTTTTTCCGATCATGACATCGATCACTTGTCCTGTTCGTCTTATTCTTTTGACGAAGAAAGCGACGTTGAAGGAGTTGATGAAGCACAAGAAATATTGCCTTAATTGTCAGTTCTGCTTGAACCAGTAACTAGTTCAAGGCATTAAATCACCGTGCAAACAACCGTGAATGACCACTACTGACCCACTTAACGACGAGGATCCTCCGATGTCCAGCGGGGATAAATTATTTGAAGCTGCAACTTTATTTTGACTCATATTGAATATACAAAATCCAATATCATATCAATATCCAATATCAATAACATCAATATTATCAAACAATCTGTTAATCAAGCGTAGCGGTACCTCCCTGTTCTGCCAAGGCAACACTTTTTACAAGTCGTAGGGCCAAATTGGACGGACGGTTAATGGCTTTTTTCGTAACTATTTAATTTTACCACGATAAAGGATAGATGGATTAAGATTACCAAGATGTCAGAAACGGCTTTTTTTTCTTCTTCTGTGGCTTTCTTTGTGTACATTCAACGGTATTGGGTCCCGTGTGTGATCTCGATTTCTATCTAAATCGAATTCATAAACTCATATAGTTTCCCTCTTCAACCACGCGCACCGTAACAGTGTACCAACATTTTGATTATGCCCGATGGCACCTGGATACGAAACCGTTTAATCGATGCCATTATTCCAAAGTTTGTGTGCACGCGGATCTTGCCACAGGCGCACCAAGTCCGTATGAGGAGATTCTTCTGGACAAAACGCACAAGGTCTGTAACATCAAATGAACAGGGGTGATGCTCAGGAATCAGGATTCGATCCAGTCGATCAAGCAAGCTTGGTAACTTGTGGACATCGTATTATGCTAAATAAAATACTGTCTTTTCATTTTCCGATGTGCAGGTCAAAGGCAACGAGCGCGCTGATCAGAAACCGGAGACCTTTTGGCCTTAAGACCTCTTCCTAACCAATAATCTTGATTTTGTTGATTAAACTTGGAAAAGCTTTAACTAGATGTAACATTGCATTAATGTAATGCAATCTGACTTCGAGATGGCCTATGATCTTTAGCGCACTGATTATACCCATACACGCACAGACACTTGGAGTGGCTTGCCTCCTTGTGGCAATCTTGGTTTTATATCTAATTAGCCAGCGTGCATGTAGATCACTTTTATATATCATGGTTTCCAGAGAGTATGCCACCGTAATTCCACCGAATTTACATTATTCAAGGGCAGTTGTATAATTGTTTCAATAAGTTGGTACAGCCAGGTAGCCTGGATTGCGGTCAGAAGATTTTTTTTCAGAACTGTGCGGCCGAAAATAACCTTGGTTTTTTTATGTTGCCTATATTGGCTTAACCTTATCAGGCTCAAGACCTCCTTGGTCATCCATGGGTTCCTTACCACACTATTTGATATCCAATAAGGAGAATATTACGGAAGTTGTTTTGGTAAAAATCATGGGACAGAGTTCCATTCACGAAGTTCATTTTACACCCTGTGTACAATCCCTGTGAAATTGGTCCGACAAATTGTGTTTTCATTGAAAAAGCTTGTACTCTGTCGCTGCTAAAATGGACTTTCCTGAACTCTAACTGATTTCTGGGAACTAACTGATAACTGAAGAGGAAAATGAGTCAACTTCGAACATGGAACTCTTTCCAAATCATAAAGAACCATTGATGAAATCACAGGAATAAACGTTTATTCAGGGGACGGTGTGCTACACTTATTCTTGTCTACAAGAAGACTGATTGGAGATGGCACCACATTTATGGCACATACGTTGCCGCTCAGATTTCATGAGGCCTTTGCCTCCTACCCTCCCCACCCCCGTGGCCCCCGCCCCCATCCAATGTTGCGTTAAGGGCCGGTGCGCGCCCATGGCGATCCAATGCAACATTGGAATGGGGGGGGGGGTTGAAGGGGGGGCGCAATCCAAAGTACCCGCGTCTATGTTAACGCACACTGTGAAATTTTCAAAGCATGAAATTCGACACATTGGTTTCTGGCAATTCTTACAAACCATACGAGTCCTTTTAGGTTGGGTTCTAGTACTGCAAAAAACACAGTTTCGTTTTTGGCCTGGCCTATTTCCTCCGGGATAACGTCCACTTGAAAGGAGTACAGTTTCGGGGGCATATGTTGTTGAGTTGCTGGTCCTGCAGGTGGACAGTTCATCGATGACCTGGACCCGGAAATCCAAGCTAGTGAGCGGACGCTTTGTGGGGATGCTGTTGTACACGATGGTAGCATTAACCAAACAGATATCAAGAATTACAAAGACTATTTCAGGGATCTATGATGATGCGTGTAGTACATACACATTTGTGATGCTATTCCGCTCATGTTCTTATTATAACCTTTGACGACGGCAGGTCTTTGGATTGTACGACGCCCGGTTGAACTTGCTTTGCAACGAATGTCTTTGGTAACACTTTTGCAGTCGCCATAATTAGTCAGAACTGTTACACGTTTTTTGGGTCCTGCCAAATAACACATAGTTGCCCCGCTTTAGAGAAAAATTGGGGTGGATCATGTCGGTTCATGGTGACGTTCTTAGGGTTTGCACTGTCTGGAATGCCTTGTGTGGTATAGCGCACAGTTCCACGAGCTCCAAACCCTATCTTGGACAACTTGTGCACAAGAGCAGGGCTAATGTACTAATTGTCCAAGAAAACAACACGCCCCTTGTTTTACAGTCCTTTCAGTACGTCGACGACAACTTAGCCTGATGCTTTAAGGTTAAGTGGATGGTTGGCTTCAGCGTACGCAACGGAGTGGGGGATGATTTGGTCTGATGGAGTGCTGGATCCAGTAAACACCTTCCAGTCACATGTGTAACCGGTCTGAGACTCGTTCAAGGAAAAACATTTCAAGCCATATTTGGCCGACTTGAGTGATATGTACTGATTAAAACTGAGTGGACCAGTAAACTTTATCATAGTCTCATCCGGTGAGAGGTTTCGTCCGGGCTTATAGATACTACAAAACGACGGAACTACAATGTCCAGTAACAGACGAACTTTAGACTTTGTCGGCAAGGTGGAGAAATCGAAGGAGTGCCATAAATCGGTTGCAAGACATTTCTTGTCGACGGATTCTTGTCGACTTCGAAGAACTTCGCACCTGGGCCAGTACATTGCGAAACTAGGCCTTTTGTTGATGCCCATCGGGAGCAGCAGTTCGACAAAAGCCATCATTTCACGAACATCCTCTGGAATCCAATTACACTGACAGTTAGCGGATTCTGCAGATAGTGTCCGATCTGCATATCGGTTGGTCTCTCTCACTAGCAACTGCCAAACTGCTTCACAGAAGAAGACTTGAAATATCTGTAGGGGTAAAAGATGACTGAAATTCTGGCTACACCCAGTCGGTTCCGTGAACTTCACAGGAAGTGGCGTTTGGTAAGTGGAGGTTGCTTGCCATCCAGGCCTGCATTATTGAAGACTAACATTAGGACTAAGAACAATATTTACAACGTGTTTACAGCAAACATTAAAGCACTGTACATGAAAAAAACTAGGAATTAGGTAGGTAGGTTTCATTCAGCTGTTTATTGAAGTGGTAATAAAGGGGTTCCTTGATTTGGGTTGGACTGAAATTAAATCTTGATTCACCGCATGTTTGGTCATATACACTCACACGCAGTGGTATTCTGCCAGAGAAAGTATGACATGCCAGTTAATAGACCTACAACATAATGACGTAATGCAATGTTTACCGCGGTGCATTGTGGGTGAAAGGGGGGGGGATGTTGCAGGAACGCGTCGACGTGAACAAAACGTTGTGTAACGTACACTATATGGCGTGTGTATCGAACTGACACGAAAAAAAGAAAAACAAAGAAAAAAAATTCCCGATTCGCCAAAATGGTTCATGTAAACTGCTGTGTTCATCAAGCACTCAACGAACGCCAGAGCTACGTTTTTTAAACTTCCACGGGACAGCAAAAGGCGACAGATTTCCATGAGAAATAAGGTCATCAAAACCAAGGCCAAGTGGACCGACCTCTGTATGCAGTCTACATTTTGTAGGCGGAGACAAAACTTAAGATGTACCGCATCCAACGATTTTCCTGTGGACAAGTGAGTGGGAGGAGGTTGTTTCACGGCAAAATGGACAACGAAGAAGCTTTCCTGCTACTGTAAACCTAAAACCACTGCCAATCTTGCAGCCAAAACAAGCTTCAAGTTCGAGTTCAATATAGAACGGCGGCAAACAGCTAGGACCAGTACAAAAGCGGACTTGTCTCCCGACATGCCCAAGTGTATGCAGGTAGGCCCTAGGCATGCTGGGGCTGCATGCTAACCTTGCTAGGTTAAGTTTATCAGCATTCACAGATGAAATGGAAAAATGGGCAAAGATTTCCATAAGAAGTCAGGTAGTTCTCCTCTGTATGAAGTTCCCAAATCATGTCTGAAGAGAAAGAGCAAAACTGAAACCATTAGCCACTAAATCAGGTATTTATACAATCTATATACCACTTTCTTGAGCTTAAGCTGTTGGTCGAATATTTATTTATAAATAGGTGGTGCCGGTTGACCAAGAGCAAAACTAAAATAGCGTAGCGGAAATTAGTTTACTTTCATCCACTGCTTGTGTGAGGAATTTCCTAGTGCGCATATGTAGTCCTGACGTCATATTGTTTGCGCTTCTCTGGGGCCCCTCTACCGTGCACGCACTGCGCACGGTTTAGATCGAAATAGGACGTATATGCATTTGTTAGCATTTGGGTGCATTTTCTCTTGACATCGGGTGTGCAAGTACATGTGTTTGTAGTTCTCTGTTGAGTGCACGTTTGGGAGCACTTTGTCGCCCACTTAGACAGCGCAATGTTTAACACGTTCGCTGAACTTGATTGTTATTGATCGGGATAGGTTTAACTTGGACTTGTCAGATTGCTGCAGTCGGCGCCACCGCCAAATTGTCATAATTAAACTAAATTTTAGGCTCTTTTATTAAAGCGAGCTACCTGGACCTTAATATTTATTAATTAAGGTGCCTCATTATTTAGTGCGCTTCCGGAGATCGCCCTCAGATTGGGTGGCGCCTCAAATACAGAGATGGCTGATGATGAAATGAAAGCCTGATCATATTTTAATAACGTCTTTGCACATCAGAGCCTCGGCATTAATTAGGCTACCTGTGCCCTTCATTCATTAATTCCTATCGCTTCTTAAATGTTCAATGAAATATTGTTAATTGTTATTATTGAAACTCTTGTTTCCCTGCGTGTTATTTTGTTCGTCTGTCTTTCCCTTAGATTAGGATATACTTTTCTAAAACGAGCGTCCTCACATGTTACATTCTGCCGCTCTAGTATAATTTGTATGAAATAAATTTCTAGCATAAGCGTGGGTCGGTGATAGCCGATAACCTTCGGTGTTGAGCGCCGAGCGAGCCTGCCTGAGTGCTACAATAGCAATTACAGACAACTTTTAGTATCACCTTTTCTGCCACCAATAGCGTATTGGCCAATTATGGGGTAGGAACACGTATGTTCATGCGCCTCACTTAGTTGGGGTGCATGCGCACTGAATCCCAATACAGCCAGACGCCAGTGAAAAGGCTCTTGACTCGGACAGGTGGAGCCCAAAAGTAATATTAGCCCTCATTTCCAAATCGATTAGTGTCTACACTCAAAGTCCCTTTTGCTATAACTTGCACAATCAAAAATTTCTGCGAAATTTTTGCCAAACTTTCTCACGTACCTCCAAAGTAACAGATTTAGAAGTTAAAAGTGTCACCATTTTAGGTTTTTATTATTTTTTTCAATTTTGCCAGGTTTTCCCTGACATTTTTCTGTTTGTGAATAGTTAGGTAGATGAATATCATGAACTTTCTAATGAGAAAGTATCATGCAAGGACACCGTATGAATGAGAACGAAAAAGTTTTGTTGGTGCCTTTTAGTCGGGCTATTTGACGTCATTCCACGTACATGTATATAGTGCAATCCAGAAAACGTCAACTTGTACCGAAACAAACTCGTCCCCAGGTGTGCATGCGTGTACTTGTGTATACCAGGCCCCAAACCCAGACGCTCCGCTCCCGGACTCAGTGCAGAAATTTGAAACCTCATTAAAAACGAACCGCATTTCAGACAAATGTCTCTCAATCTTGAAGAAATGAACTGATGGATACAAAAGATTCATCTGTCTTCCAGACAGTACCACCGACGACCTGAGGGGAATTTGACAAAAGTGTGAAAATTGGGCACTAAACTAGGTGAAAAACACGGAAATGACGAAATTGAGTCCCAATGAAAAACGAAGTGAAGTTTAAGGGTTGAGGTTTTCTGCCTAGACGTAATAAACTATTTTGATCATAAGAGTTACTATTATGTGACATCAAAGTTATTTGAAGGTAAAGACGGCAAAACTGTGAAAATAAGACACAAAGTCAAGTAAAAAAGACGGATTTTTTTCATGATTATCCCTTGTCGTAAAATAGACATTTTCCACATATTTGATGAGATGGAGATGCCTTTTTACCAAAAGCTGTTAAATATCACCATTTGACAGTTTTCTGCAATTTATTCACAAGAGAGGTCTTCAAGGGAAATGGCAGGACCAATCCCTCGCATGGGTCACCAGCAATATGCGTCGTCGGCAGGAACATCAGTTTTCTGGCCGACGACGTATGTTACCATTGTGTATGCGCGTGAATATACAAACTTACTGTACGCACAGTCTATGGGGAACGAACATACGTGGGAATAGTGCTCAAATGACCGACCACCATCAACACATTCATTCAAACAATGGACCCGATAACACCCATCCCCACACACGTGTTTGCAATTTGGGAACCTTAGGCCTACCGAACCTCTTTTTTTTCATTCTATAACATTTTCGAAGGCCTCCCATCTGGTCGTTCATAGTTGTGAATCAGTGACCCTCGTTGAATCAATGACCCAACATTTTTAAAATTCAATCTCAATAATAAGAAGTATACACATGAATAAAAACACGAATGAAGAAATAACTGGATGGAATACATGTAGTCAAGAGTTTAGTGGTTGCAATTCGAGGGGGTATGGCGGCATCTTCTAAAAGCCTAGGCTCCATGTGAGATGCCTTTTCCTCTATGGATACCAATCTGGTGTCCATAGGGGAGCACAATCAGGCACTGTTTGTTACATTTTCGGTCTGTATTACATGCATTGGTGCATTAATGGCAGACGAATTATTCCGTTTTATCACCCCGCGGCAAGTTCCTGCTGCAGCGATCAAGTTGTTGCCTCACTATGGCGAGAAACACGCTCTTGCCATAGTTTGATACGTTTCCTTAGGGCGGGATACAGATTGTTTTGGGTTGCTTTGAACAACAAGAGATCATATTTTTCAACAAATCTTCGTTTCAAACATCAACACAACAGAAGTGAAACCTTGCTGCATAAACGATAACGACGGGAGCAGCAAGATTTTCTACTGAAAGCCGTTATTTTGACGATTCAGTTTTTGTCACAGTATCAAAAGCACTGCAAAAATGGCTTCCACGTTGTACAGATGTTAAATCCAAAAACTGACACACATTCACATACCTTCATTTTGAGGAGAAACCTATTCAACTGAGCACCCACATGTGTCGTTACATGAAGTACAACGCATTGTCTGCGAAGGCCAACAATGTTTACCCTTCCAAGCGAAGCGTAGCATCTTTGAACCAGTTACTTTCATTGCCAGTGTGTACCTTGTCACAAACATCTGCCTTTCCAGTAAGCAAGTGACCTATACCTTCGATCTATATATACACATGCATGTTAAAATCCGTACTGCACAACGAATTCCGTGGGAGAGCTGCTTTTCAAGAATAAATTAAGAGGCAAGTCTTCAAATTACTCATTGTCAGCGAGCAGAAAAAGGTTCCGCATGCTCAAAAGGATTAATTAAATAAAGAGGAGCAAATTTAATTTTATAGCCATTAGACAGGAGATAGGCAAACACTCTCAAATTGAGTTTGAGAACAAAACCATTGCACCAACGCTGGATAATTTAACTGCGTGATGTGCAACAGTTTCAACACCATGAGTGCAATGATACCGGATAATGCATATGGTTTCCTTTTACGGATTTACGGTGCATTGTTGTCATTTGTTGGTGTTTAGGTCATTGGAAAACTACACGAATCAGCAACTTGATGAGATGATTATGTCAGTCATTTTGTTCAACTATCAAACACACAGGCAGGCAAACCTTACCAATTGCGATTTTCTGATTCGCATATCAGACAATATTCGATAATCGTAAAATTTAAAGTTTGTAAAATTGCTTTAAAATTTACCAGGCCAGAAAATGTTAAAATAAAACGAAACCGTCATGTAGTTGGTTATAACTTTTTTTTACATTATAGGCCTATTCATAACTACCTCAGAGAGTCTCCCTATTCAACAACGCACAGCTTGACTGTGTTTATACACATGTAATAATTTCCGCTGAGAAATGATAATGCCCGCCAAGTAAATCACGCGCTGAGGCCTGGATTCGAGACAGGTTAATAGGCTCTGATTGGCCAAGAGTCTGTGTGCACGCTCCTCGTCCCGCGCCAACTAGATAATTTGCTCAGAGAATATTCCATAAAATGGACAGGGGGTGTTTAAGAAAATAAAAGTAAAAACAAAAAAAAAAAACCAGTGAACAAAATCACTGGAAATCCATCATATACTGACTGAATAAATAATACCAGCTAAGTACATATTTATTCCCCTATATATTCCGTATGTTATAGGCCTTTCATAATGTTTATGCTGATTTTATTCACAGCAGCTGAAAACGAGGCTGTGGAGAGCTTGCGTGTCACGACGGCTGTAAATGGAAGGGATCTTTCCGTGGTTCCCGTGATAACCTTTGGGTTTGTGGAGGATTACGTCGAAAAGGGCTCCAAAAGCAGTGGAGAGCACCAGCTTGGTAAAGGCTTCGAGTATTTTTCAGGAGCCTGCATTCATAATCTGAAGGGTAAGCAGTTTATTAACAGAATTTCATCTGGGACGTTTTGATCACCTTGCACGCGTGCACTGTTTATATTTAGGCCCAATTGACGCCACAATCGAGCACACTTTTTGCTCATTCATCGGATTACCTTTAACTAGGTTTATTTTCTTCGAAGTTCAGAATTCTATAGATGCTAATTTGCAAATTACAGACGTTCTTTCATTGTGCTGGCCGCGATCAATCTTGGAGGATGGAAAAGACTGGATCAATCGAACTGCACCAAAGTACAATAATGTGTACAGTGTAGAGCCAGTGATCACAGAGTGCCCAGATCTGTGCCCAGAGAAGTCGTTTCAAAGTCAAAACATACCCTGAATAGGGCCTGTCGTCCCGTTTGATCTTAACAATTCACTTTGCCGCTGGATCTTGTTCTTTGGAAAACGATAAAAGCTTGTTTTTGTCCATGATTGCAACAACACGACACTGAACAATGCTTCGCTTGTTTGCTGACAACGCAGAGTCCCCTACAGCCTCGTTTTCAGTTCTTGGGCATAAAATGGCATAAATAGCAAGAACGGCCTATATCACTGCAACTACATGTTAAGACTGATCTATGTATGTTCCCAGGCAGGGATTTGAACGCAATTGTTGTCATTCCAAAAACGTTCCCGTATTTACAAATCTGACTGAAAACCCAGAGATGATGGACAGAACAACGAGAGACTATTAGGATGTCTCACGCTAGAAGCGAGAATTCACAAGGGCATTGAGAAAACAAAACTATATTTCGTCCACTTTTTAGGATAGTGGATGGTATTGAAAAGATAATTCGGCACTGATCTGCTCCTTAACCCTAGGGTCAACGGCGCAGTGTTAGAGATTTGTAGACACCCAACCACTGTAGATTAAGAAATTTTGAAATATCAATAAAAAAAAAATCCACCTCGCTGCTCAGAGTTATTTTGGGGGCGTGGCTACAAATCTACTTCCACAACGGTATAATGAAAAGTAGTTAGAGACGGGACCTGAGGGATGTATCAGCCACCATCAAACAGTCGTACAGGTTCAGGCATGACCAGGAACTTCCTGGAGACAAAAATAACCACATGGAGGAACAACATCACCACATGGAGTAACTGTCCATCAGGTACTCCGAGCAAACCACTCGCCAATTTCAAGCAACCGCAATGGTCTAACAGGACTCAAGTCCGACCCGAGTCGTCAGTCCAGACTAGAATTGAAGTCTGCACTTCAAGTCCTCCATCAAAGGAGTCGTGAGTTGCGGGTAACTCTCACAACTATAATGGCACAGCAAAAAGAACTTCGCAATATAAATTTACCATGGCTTTACAATGGAAAAGATCACATGCTCCACACCCGGAGGTCTATTGCATGTGGCCGATCACAGTTTTCACAACTATATTGAAAGTCACTGAAGGTTGGAAGCGCTTAACCCTGTTTTCTTTTTTCCAGAGTTTGACGTCATCATTTGTATTGACATGAAAATCATGCCCTGGGTTTCCAGTCATATAAAAGGACCCAGGAACCTTACGGTTGACAAATCAAGAGCGTACTTTCCAGCATGACTACAACACTTACATGTTGCTGTGAAAAATAGACCCTAGGCCTATTGACTGTCGTTTTGCTGTTACGCAGGTAAGCTAGAATAGGAGTGATAAAGGTTGGTTTATAATAATGTGCTTATGCAAGAACTATTGTGAAATGTTCTGACAGAGAGCAAGGTTTGAGCTAGTTCTGATCCAATTAATGAACTCAGCTGGCGATGCAATGGAGTTAGTGATAATTTGAAAAATTATGGTAATTCTGGAGCGAGAGTTACGGTGGAACTTAAAGTACCCCCTTAAGCTGCAAAATGACTCCTCTCTTGTTGGAAACGTATTCCACCGTGTTCATTTTGTTTTTGGTGAATGGAAAGCCTGTTGCTTCACATACATTCGCCTCTCTCCGTAAGTGATATTAATGGTGTCAATTTTCAATTCGAACAAAAAGTCCAAATTAATTTTGAACAAATTAGACGAAAAAGTATATGCACTGCTACTTGTGCCTATTCAAGGACTAGCTATATGTCTCGAACTCATTTTGGGGGGGAAATAGAAAAAGTTAAGTTGATGTGAACGAAAATAGAATATGATAAAAAATAAATCAAAAATGTAATGGACGTTAAGCAGAAGGTCGTCAATGCATCAAAGGCGATTGGATATAAACTGTGTCAGCGATGGCTTGGTAACTTGCATTCAAGTGACAAAAACGGAGTTTAAAATAAACCTCGCTGAGCCGGAAGTGGAAGTAGCCCCAAATATTTTAGGGCTTGAGAGAACTAAGGTTTGATAGCCCAGTGGTGGAACTCAGTTGCGTCCATATGAAAGTTATTCTACATGGAGCTATCTAGCTGTGGAGCTATACCCGCATTTCCTTAAAAATGAATACACTTCATGTAGAGCATTCTGTTAACTCTTATTTCTTCTAAAAACAAAACAAACTGTGTAACAAATTACAAAAAGAATCTAAATATTTACATTAGGAACAGAACGCACCACTATTGTCCACGTGCAGACATCTTTTTCACCTGCCTCCAATAAACAGTTTTTTCCGTTATGTGTGATGAAACCGATGGCACCTGATGTAGTTAAAAGAGTTGTAAAAAATTGCAATTATCTCTGTCTATTTAAAGTCAACCCAGGCGATAAATTTTTGGAGTGATAATCACAACTTTACTTCCAAATAAAGAATCTAATAGCAACAGCTTTTGCTCAATATGCAGAGGCAAGGGATTTACGGTCCACTGCTTTTAACCATACACGAAAGCCTGGGTGAAATCCAAGGCTGCGGCACTTGCGTTGAGACTGTCCAACAAGTTGGCTGGCCACACTACAATATGACGCTTCCTTTTTCTTTCACCCGCCCCGCCTACCAACACCAAGTTTGAGGTCATTTTAAGGAATAAACAAATAAGTAGGTGTGCATTAAAGTTTATTCATTAAGAATTAAGATGACCAAGGTTCAATAATGTGTAACGGTAAAATGACGTTTGTTGATTATTCAAATGAAAGAAGAAACGTGTAATGGTTAATTTGACAAGTATGTATTCAAGAAGACATAGTTGAACATTTAATTTCATTTATTTACAATTGTTATATAGGCCTATATACAAATAAAATAAAAGCTGGGGACTCCTAACCCTAGAACATCAACATCAAGAGAGCACTTTGGTGCTTTTCATCTGTGACTCAGAAACCCATAAATATTAGGTTATATATTTAAGATACGGACAAATATTTATATTCAGGTTTAAAGCGTTCAGAGGTGCTGTTGATAATGCCTTACATAGCCACCTACAGTAGGGGATACATATAATATCAAATATAAAGAATCTTTGGTTCTAAGCGATTTATCTGTCTTGAAAAGCGAAACATGTACAAATACAAATGCAATTTCGCTGCCCTTTAGGCGGGTAATGTGTTCTATGTGGTCTATGCTTGTAACATGGGTTATGTCAATCGAAAACAAGTGGACTGTTCTGTTCGGAGATTTGTAATAGTCTGCTTTGATTTCCTTCCATGTATGGAGCATCATTGCATTATTTACGGGGCTTATGGATGCCTTTTAAACGTACAACGCAGGTCCAGTTATTGAAAAGACGATCCCTGGACATTTTGAAGACACAGTAGACAAAATTCTCTTCTGTTGGTAGTAATTCCCAAATTTGGGGGAAAACAAGATGTCTGACGTACAAAATGCAATACATGTATTTATTTGTGGCGGGTGGTTTTGTTACATTACTGCTGGCACTATTTAATGCCCGACCACTGATAACAACGGTTGACGTTATCAGCAGAAGGAAGCGTTCAAAGGCAGTAAACCCACCTTTTGAAAAAAATGCATATTTATATACGCCAGTTATCTTGTTGTTGCAAAGAAAGGGTATTTTTTTCCGTATCGCTGATTACAGATCACCAAGGAAGCTGTTTTCAGTGTTACTGAAATGACATTGTCTAGAAGCCTCAAAATGGAAATGACGACATGTAATACCGGCCCCTGGATAAATCCATTACTGCGCCTCTCTCCAGAATGTGTATTGCTACATTATTGTCGATGACGATGAATGCATTGGAATCAAAAATTGTAAGTTTTAGTCACTGAAATCAAGATCACCAATTATTTAAATATCAAAACATTGAGAAGCTTCCATTTTGTGCAGGCTATCAGGATCCCTGTTTGTCTATAAATATCCAAATGGAAACGTTTGTGAATAGGAAAACAAACCGAAAACCGTAAACAAAAAAAGCAAAACAAAACAAAACCAAAAACAAACAAAAAATGAGATACACTCAAGTATATCCAACCAAACAGACAAAAAGTAACAAACCAATATCAAACAAAAATAAGAAAAAGGTTTACTCTAAAACTTGACTTTTATTTACCGATGCCCTTTCACGTGCAGAAAGATTGATTCAGAAAACCATTGAAAGCTAGTACAGCAGACGGTCTACATATGTTGGTCGCATAAATGTGTTGCATTCAGTTTCACTCTTTTGAATCTGTTGAAAGGTCAATTTTTCACCTTCAGCTCCCTTCAACATTTGCGCTAACTTTTCCCATGATGGTACCACTGTACAGGCTCACTTTTGTTATGCAAAACTGGGTGAGCAACGTAAACAGGTCTCCGGTCTGTGTTTAGGGCATTACGCCATATCTGGAATAGCCCGTAGAAAATTAGAACACGGACGGTCTCGTTCTTACAGAAACGGAGTAACGCCCAAGAATAGGTTTCCAGCTTGCTTTGAATGGTGCGTGAGTTTTGGGTACTAGTTTTGGGCAGCTTCCGCCTAACTGTAGCCCCTATACAACACATGGATTGGTTCATATGCGAGGAATATTAATTTGAAGTACTCTTAACTGCACACATTATACCTTGCGTGCTGGAGTTCTGCTATACTGAGAATGTAGAAATTCTGTAATCATTGAGAACATAACATTCATTTTTTTTCTGTCCACAGTTTACTCTTCAAGTTGACTATCTTATTTGTGACTTCGTCACAAAGGCGGACGCGCCACAATTGGCAGGCTGTCATTGGGCAATCGCTGAAGTTGCGCGTTAACTTCACGTTCCATGTAAACAGTTTTACATGGAACCGGAAGTTAACATTTGGTTTTATGTCAAACCGTACCTAATTTTATTGGAAGTTATTTCATTAAAGTTTCTCGGACATGACTAAATCAACCCATTGATAAAATATATACATTGTAAAACCCCAGCGTTTAACTTTTAAACGCCAATTATTCGAAAATCTGTATCTCTTTTTAAAATATTTTGACACGCTTATAAATAAACACATACAACATGTTTATATAATTAAACACACTATTTTATTTAATAAACGCAACCTATGCTTATGATACTATATAGATATGTTTAGCATGTAAGATTTTCAAATAAATTTTAATTATAAACCCGTTTGTGTGTTTGTGTACAGGCTGTAACACGTTTTATACAGTTTGACACGTTAATAAAGGGGGCAGAGTTTATTAACTGCACGTCAGTACGTAACGATGACACACATTTTCAAGTCATACGCAGTTACGTGAAGAGTGGCAAACCAACTGCTACAGGCTAACACGGGAACAAAATGGTTGAAATACTGTTGACAAAACTTTTTTTTCAGAAAATTATCACCCATCCGAGATCGTGATATATATACGCACGTAATATAAAGAACCTGTCTAAGAAACGAGTAAATGCAACTCGGATCAGTTCGAGTTCTATTTTTTATTTATCTATTTTTTTGCAACTAACAATTTCCGTGCAGGGGACGCAGAAAGAGATCGAACTACGCATGCACATGCGTTTACATACAGCATATGCGCCTAATCGTGTCCTAAACGCTTGGAAGTGCAACTGAACGTATTGGCTGAACAAGGTGTTTATCTTTGTGTGATAACCAAGTAAAAATCCACTCTGCATCCATACACTACACGTAATGTCAGCTTAAATTAACCACTTACAACATGAGATTAAATGAGTATTGGCGGGAAATAATGGAAGTCATGTTTTAAGCTGCTATAAACATGCGTTTAATATCCCAATGATAAACACTTTATATGTCTGTGATCAGGGTAATGTTGTTCAAACTTCAAACTTTGGAACGTTTAATCAGTTTTCTTAAAACCCCATCCTTGGTCTTCAGGGTTCCAGATAAAAGGATAAGTACAAAATACAGTTACACAGGTACTCCTCCTGTTTCGTGAAGCCTTACCCCGATGTAATATGGAAAACTAGCCAGAATTAATTGGCACGGGATGGTGGTCAATGGTCTAGTAAAAGTTTTGATGATACGTTTTTGAAAATCTAATCAGTCCTAAAATGTATTCATGTATATTTAATTTCCACCCTATAAGCGGACATTCAAAGACTCCTTTAAATTTCCTTAATAATCTAAAAAAATATTGCCAAACTCTTATCAACCTGTAAGTCAATTTGAAAAGGGGTATAGTTCAAATGAGATTTGAACGAAGATATAAACTTTTGAAAGTATGATTTATAAAAGATTATAATTTTGTACTGCACTGGTCTTCGTCAATTTCCGGTTATAAAATTTCAGACGGGCTTGATTTTTTTTAAACAAAACAGACATTTATTACATGGGCCTTTCTTGGACTTTCGGAATACCTCAGACAATTCTAATGATTTTGGGAAGTGCTATAGTACCGGAAGTGTTAAAACCTTAAGGGTAAAACTTCTCATTCCATTGCTTTAAATGCGTTTGAGGTTGTTTAAAAGGTTACTTACATCCTGTGCACATGACAAACCACAAAGCTTAATTCGTTGAATATGAGTACTTTTCCAGTACGTGAAGCTTTCAGGATCTTGTGAGAATTTGTTATTGCAGTCACACGGCTGTTTTCAGTTCCTATGTATTCTTTGATCATGTGTGAACATATATATACTCAATGCACTCAGTCCCTCGATGTCTTATCCAGCGATGTCTTATCCAGTAAGTAATTAATTACTTTAAATAAATCATCTGCTGTGCAAAACCGCTAAAACAAACACTAATGCCTAACTGGGATTTGTCAGATAATTATCACAAATAGTTCAGTAGGCCTCTTGCTGAACCTGTTGTCCTTTTGTTAGGAAACTGTGAACGAATTCCTTGAATCAGATCCTCATTCATTTCAGTGTTCCTTCACCTGCAATTTAGTATAAGCTCACTCAGTATAAGTTTACTCTTCCTGAGTTCAGTTTGAGATCACTAAGATGTAGCATCTTCGCGCGCGTGTTTGTTTCACACGGATCTGGATCTCGATCAGTGATACTAACGCTGGTTCGCACCAGCCATTAATTTTGGTGTCCAGATGGATCACTGATCGTGATTCATATCCGTGTGAAGCAAACACGGTTTCATTATGACATACACTGTGTCTCTCTGGACGACCCGGCCCGTCGTGATGTCACATGCAGGCACCTGTATCCAAATTTGTTTTCACTTTGTCTAATGTCTATTCCAAGAAAAAGAGAAGCAATGTCTTAAAAGTGCCTGCGTGAGGACTCGATGAATCATATCATAGCAAGCGTAGTTTACCCAAATGTCTTCTGTAACTGAGACCCATGTGGAAAAGCTTGCAACGTATGTGTTGATACACTGCTAATCTAAAAAGCAACTCACCAAATAGCCAGATCGATTAATGCAACTGCCTGGCCTACCTTGAAAGAAATGAACATGAGAAATGAATACAAATTATTACATTTCAAATATTAGCAAATTTAACTAAATCCTGGGAGGTCCATAATATAGACTATATCATGTCTATAGTTTAAGTTTCAAAACTAAATCCCTAAATATAACCAGTGCCTTTATAATTGGGACCCCATACGCGAGAATCGCCCTCAAACAGAGCTATAACCTTATTTAGATACACCCAATAAAAAGATATCCGAGGGTGGTCACCAAATAAGGGGGCGGGGGGGGGGGATAAAGCGCTGGTACAATAAAAAGTTTGCATTCCATTCATTGGCACTATCAGGCTTCCGTACAGTCTTATTGTTGGAGGAAATAATGTGTGCTTTGGGCTGTTTGATGTATTGTGTGCTTTGTAAAGCATTACAGGTTTGTCTGGCCCGTCTGATAGATTTTACGCTACCTAAATGTGCGTGAATACATGTAGTCCATTTCCTGAGACTTTGAATGCACAATCAGGTAAACTGTCAATATGTAAAAAAGTTTGCTCTGTTTAGGGTTTAATGTAGAGGCTGCTTCAAGAACTTCAAAGAAAGTGTAGCGGTACACAAAGTTACAATAATTAGACGCCTAATCATTGAAATTTACTGCAGCTTCCTGCTAAGTAAGTTGCTCATTTGACTTCATTAAAAAGACCAAGCATTTGTGAGATGCAGTCCTATAACCATTAAGTAGGCCAGGAACGTTGGTCTGTTCCTCAGGACAATCATGCCTCTTTCATTTCAATATTAAGGTATTAGATTTGTTTCTGTAAGGCCCTGTCACTGAGAAGAAGAATGTATAAAATTATCGAATTAATCAGAAATACTTTTCCTAGGAAAAGCACAAATGTTCGAGACAAGTCACTTAAAAGGGGTATTTTGCCCGCTGGTGTGTTGTATTGGGTAGGGTCGACACTTGTGGCAATTTTACCTACAAAGGCCCAGGTAAATTGGGGGAACTTGCTCTCATAAGTGTTGTTTGAAAAACTGATTTTACCCAAGGTTTTCACTCTACTCAACCAGCACTGCTTTGGTTTTGTAGTTTACGTGCATTGAGTTCATATTGGGCAAATGGCGAATGTCGAAAAATTCCATCACGTACAGCTTGCATGCTTTCAAATAGACGGTTGTACTGTTGAAACCTGTGCACTTCGCTGCACCTTTGTTTGGCACCCTGGGTCCATTCAGTCTTCAACAAGGCTAAGCTAAGTGGGTCAGATCTGCAGATCCGTGAAAACATTCAATCTTTATTTTTAAGGCTTATCTAACGTATACGAATAGTTACAATCTAGGTATGACTCTCAAATACACACGTCGAGGAGATCTACGGCCAAGCTTAATGTTTGTCAACTGCTTGTCGATATTTTGAGCATAGGTTACCAAGGAAGATCGTCCTGTAGTAAAAAAACAAATGGTCCTTTACAGAACTTCGTAAAATGCTAACATCTGTGACTTAATTGTGTGCGATGTTGTTTGAGGGTGGTTCTACTTAGTCACGCAATCAGGAAATATTGCTCACAATTGTGAGTTCGGAAAAAAAAAATTACCAATTTTTTTTTCATGACCAAAAGCGTATCCAGATTTTGGACTCAGGAGGGGTTGGGGGAATTCTAAATCAAATGCATCTTCAGGCTCATTCAACATGAAGTTGGGGAGAAACAAAATCAAACGTTTTCCCACGGTCCTGAAATCCTTGCCTTTATTTGCTGGTGTTGTTTACTTTAGGTACTGGTGTTGATGTTTGATAATATATTTCTTACTAACCTTTGAAGTATTTTTGCTAAAGATGCCGTGGGGGGATTGCTCCCTCCCCCGTTGGATACGCCACTGCTCATCACTAGTTTCCTATAATTATAACTTCCTTCAAACATGTTCAATATAACACTCTCTAAAACACAATCTTTATCTATCAGTCTGTTCTTTACGTCTGCGTCTACAGCGTTTGTACGTATTTTGTTTTAAGAACAACTGACGTAATTTGTATTAACCAACTCATTTACCACCAGAACTCGCGAAGTATCTTTCCAGCCCAAGAACCTATCAAGGGCTAGGAAAATGCTGCGGATTTTCCTTCAGACGTTGGTGGCTGCAGCTACATTTCAAATTATAGATGCAGGTTAGTTTCTTGAACAAGATAAAAAATAATAAGAATAGTACCAGAAATAGATTTTTTTCAATTATTCAGAAATATGCAAATTCACCGAAACCTGTAAAACGTTAAAGCTGACATAACAATCTTTTCACTATCTATCTAAGTTTCAAATGCTAGTTTAGAAGAATTTGGCAAATACTAGCCACATATATACCTGCAAACATATGCTGTTATCTTTCTAGACTTCAGGGTGTCTCCATAATTTGTCTTGGTGTTGTTTGTAACGGATGGGTAAATTTTCCTACCTGTACGTTTCTCATTAGTGGACTTCGCACTAATTGCTGATCTCATGACCGGTGCCATCTACGCGGGAAGCATGAGTCAAAATCTGTCGGACTTAGCACGCCTTCCACTCAGTGGGGTCAGTCGTCCTGTTGCCGTTGACTATGATCCGGTAGACAGAATGGTCTACTGGACTGACGTGGCTAGCCTGCCCTCGCCTAAGATTTCAAGAGCATATCTGAATGGAGGCAACCAAATGACGCTTGTGGACAGTGTAGAAGGTTAGTGGTAACGATTTTCAGTATGCCAAATAGAAAAAAGAAGGATACCATTGGTAAACAGACGGACAATGCGTTTAGTTCGTTGTGAGGATGACTTTTATCATTTTACATTTTAATCTCTTATCTGAGATACGCCTGATGTCAGCATTTGAAGAAGGTTTAATGCCAACAGCACTGTAACGTGGGGCGCATAATCCTTATAGACTCATTGACTAGTGCAACAGACAGACATTAACTTCCAAGATACGATCAGACATTGAAATTCCTCTTTGGAGATATCTCTACTCCTGGAATAAATGTTAACTTGGCACGTGAAGGAATAAAGATATCTGTATAGGCTGATTAAATGTTACATTGCATGTCATAAGTTAGGGTTAAAATTAGGAGCGTTGTAATAAGTAGGGGTAATAATAAATGAAAAATCATAACATGGATAATGTCACCGTGAAACAGCTATAACAGTGACCTCAGGTTCTTTCAGCCCAAATAACTGATGAAACAGTGAAGCCAAAAATCTTAAATTCCTTCATTTTTATATTTACACTATATTTGCAACTTTCAATATTACTCTGTATTTACAATTACTTACAAAAGGAAATAAAATATCATTTTGTTCTACGGTTCTTTTTGTTGCTTCTTCGTCAGTCAGATAATTTCTTAAGCTTGCTAATACAAGTTCTTTAACCCCTTATAGCTTGAAGAGAAAACGAGTTTTTTCTTCTTGAAATGATCACTGAATAAATAACCGAGTAAAAAATAAATCCTTGTCAGCTCCGGCTTTTTACTAACAGATGATACATCACATTTTACGTTCAAAGGTTGAACTAGGTTGGTATTCCTTCTAGATTCCACTGGGTAGCGGATATCAGATCTTTCTGGATTATCATCTTTTTCAATTACTTTCAAACTTCAATAATGATCCGAGGTGTGAGAACGGGCATCTAAAGTAAAATAATCCTTGCAAGTTTCCGGCCAGATCAATGACATTGTGAAACAAACTTTCTCAATTTTCATTTACATTCTAAAATCAGTATCTTTCTTTGTTTATTTGTAAAAAGGGTTAAGATACTTTAGTTTCTAAAGAATACTTATGAAAAAATTGTAATTAACTCAATTATCATTGCCTTCTCTATCTTTAACACATTACCCGTTATATAATAATGTTTAACTAAAGGGTATATTCAACAATGCTGAATAATTCTTTGATGAGGTGTGATATCCAAGCCAAATGTTGGTAAAAACCGATCGTTGAGTTAGGGCTAATATTGGCTCTGATTTAGCCGAATCTTGGCCTGATCGCACGGTGACTTATTTTCACGTTCTGGTTGCGATCACCACCTTCTGTTCCCGGGGATCTCAGCCGAAGTTGGTACCAATATCTCAACACTCAACACACACAAATCCATATTCAAATTTGCATATTACATCATGAGGACGTTCAGTATAGTTCTTACTATAAAAATATTGGAAAAATATGGACTAGGGCAAACTCTCCATCCTGGTATTTTTTGATCTAAGTGCTGTGTTTGATACGCTTAATCATGACATTTTGCTTCATCGATTACGGACACATGTTGGAGTCTCACAAAATACCTTTGACTGGTTTTCTCCTTACCTTGGAGACCGTTTACAAAGAGTTCAGATTCGGTCTTTATCGTCTGATGGTTGGAGTAGATTGGATGTCGGAACCATGAGTGACGCCTATACACTTAAGTATGGTGTCCCCCAGGGCTCTGTACCCGGACCACTTTTATTCAGTGTGTATATGTTGCCATTAGGGGATGCCATTAGGCATCATGGACTGAATTGTCATTTTTATGCAGATGACACTCAGTTGTATTTCTCAGCTCAGCCAACTGCCAGTAACATACAGCAAAAATTGTCAGTTTTGGAAAAATGCTGTGACGACATCAAATGTTGGATGACGACTAATTTTTTGAAGCACAATGATGATACGACAGATCTGGTTATCATTGGATCGCATATGTCGTTGAGCAAAATTCCTAGAACTGTTGTAAATATTGGAAATCACAATATTACTGCAGTCTTTTAAGTCAAGAGTCTGGGTGTGATTTTTGACTACAACATGAACAAGCCATCCCACATTAAGAATGTCTCTCACATTTCAATGTATCACCTGTACAATATAAGTAAAATAAAACATTTTTGGGTGAATCAGCTACAGAGTAGATTATTCATGCACTTGTTACGTCTCGCATAGACTATTGTAACTCTGTTTTAGTAGGTCTATCGGCGTCAGCCCTTGCTCCTTTGCAGAGAGTCCAGAATGCTGCAGCAAGGTTACTCACTAATGGCAAGAAATTTGACCACATCACTCCAGCACTGATGCAATTACATTGGTTGCCAGTAAAATATAGGGTAATTTTTTAGTGTGTCTCCTGAACTTTCAATGTCTCCACGACAGTGCTCCAAGTTATTGAATTGATTTGCTTGATGATAGGATTCCTAGTCGATTCACTCGTTCCGCACTGGACTCGTCTAGGCTGTCTCTTCCAAAAATTAGGCTGTCTTCTTCTGGCGAGAGGATTTTTTCTGTGGCTGGTCCCCGTCTCTGGAACCAGCTTGAAGTTCATCTTAGAGAGTCTAGGAATGTGGAGAGTTTTAAGACCGGGCTGAAGACGCACCTTTTCAAAAAGGCATTTTTAGTTTATTAGTATTGATTTTAATTATGGTACATGTAGGTTATATTTATTTATATTTTGATGTACAGCACCTGGGAGCAGCTTGATGGATTGGGCGCTTTATAAATGTCAATTATTATTATTATTGTTTACTCTTTTTAGCTCACATACTCTCAACCCACAGTATCTACCAATTTAATTTACAAATCAACACAAACAGATGTACCAAACACAACAAGCAATGACAGAAACATGAAACAGAAAACCGTGGCCGTTATATGACTACCTTAATTTAACGCCCGGCAAGGAAAATTACAGACAGTGTGATCACAGAGCGGGAAAAATAAAAAGTGTTTCATTGGTCACCGGCCATTGTCGCGGGGACAAAAGCATTTTCGCACAGGGGAGATCTTGCGAAACAAATGATGGGGATGTATAAATTTGCTGTGACAGGTAACTACATTAGATTGTATCAATGAAATCATAACATAGATAATCATGAGATTGCACCAATGATTTAGTTTCATAGGGCCTCTTGACACATACATATCTTGCATCTGAGTCACATTTCGTGTGTTAACTGTCAAATTCACTGTTACCTATCACTTCCTTTATCTACGCTCCAAATAAAACAATAAACTTGAGTCAACAGATATAAGGTAGTATATAGATACATTCTTTTAGCCTTTAAAAATCCCCCATAACACGAGTATGCAAACTGATTAACTGAGTTAATTCGGTTGACCAATTGTAACCGTGTTTATGTGCAGGGGCTGATGTGCCTATGTGTAATTACAATCTTTAATCCC